CCTGTGTAAACTTCATGAAGCCCAACAAGGTCAAGTGCAAGGTTCAGCACATGGCTGGGGGCAATCCCAAGCACAAATACAAGGTGGGCCATGAGTGGATGAAGAACAGCACTGTAGGGAAGGACGTGGGGGTGTTGGTGGGTGAAAAACTGAACATGAGCCAGCACTGTGCACACACAGCCCAGAGAGCTAATCTCATCCTGGGCTTCATCAAGAGAAATGTGGCCAGTAGGTGGAGGGAGGTGATTCTCGCCCTCTGGTCTGCTCTCTGGTGAGACTCCACCTGCAGTTTTGTGTTCAGCTCTGAGGTCTTCAGCACAAGAAATAAATGGGCTGTTGTAGTGAGTCCAGAGGAGACCACGAAAATGCTCAGGGGGTTGGAGCACCTCCCCTGTGAGGACAGGCTGAGAGAGTTGGGGCTGTTCAGCCTGGAGAAGAGAAGGCTCCAAGGAGACCTTAAAGCAAACTTCCAGTGCTTCAAGAGGGCTACAGGAAAGCTGGGGAGGGACTCCTGGTTAGGGAGTGAAGTGATAGGACAAGGTGTAGTGGTTTCAAACTGAAAATAATGTAGATTTAGATGAGATATTAGAAAAATTTATTTTCTGTGAGGGTAATGAGACACTGGTACAGGTTACCCAGAGAAGGTGTGGAAGCCCCGTCCCTGGAAGTCTTCAAGGCCAGGCTAGACAGGGCTGGGAACAACCTGATCTTGTGGGAGGTGTCCCTGCCCATGGCAGAGGGGTTGGAACTAGATGATTTAAAGGTCCCTTCTGACCCAAACCGTTCTACGACTCTATGATTCAGTTGGACTGCCTCTGCTATTCCTCTTCCTGGCAGAGGTCCGCACCAGCCACAGCACTATGTGGTGCCAGTGGGGTAGCTGGAGCCCCTCGTCAATCCCCCACTGATAAGCATATTTTAAAATTGGTATAATACCTTTAAACTTGACTCTTTTGAGTTCATGGCCCAGACACTGTGAGATGCTGTGTTTGTCACTGTTTTCATGTTACTGCTGTCCTCAAAGTGCTGAGGCTGCTCCAGTGGTAACATCAGGAAGGGTGAGAACAGGGTGCTCAGTCCAACGGCGCAGGGCAGCTAGAAAGAGGTCACTACTCTGCATGAGTTATTTTAAATGTTGCTTAGACTGCCAAGAAAAAGGGGAGGTTTTATCTTTTTATGCCTGAGAGACTTTCTGTTCCCTTACCTAGTCGTCTCATCCACGGGAGCGTGTTAACTCCTTCTTCACTATTTCCCCCAGCCTGGCATACAACTGGCCCTCTGAGCATCCTCTGCTCATGGACTGCCCGTTGCGGGAAGCCAGCCCACTGCCTGGGAGCCCTGCAGGGTGCTCAGCTTACAAAGTGGAAATAATTATTGATTTAGCCAACCTGGCATCCAGAATTCACATTACACAGCTTCAGGCCTTGACTTCTGGACATGTATTATAATTTTGCAGGTTTTTCCAGAATGGTTCGAAAGTTTCTGGTGGCATTTTTTAATTTATTTTAAACTCAAACATTCAGCTTCCCTTACATTTTTTACTGTGTTGTAGGTAACAGCACGCCAAGTCCTTGACTTTCCATGTTCGTCCTGTATGTGCAGAGGTGTCTTGTGTTTCTGTTACGGTGATCTACGCACAATATATTTTCATGTTGAGATGAAGGATGCATTTCTTTCCTGTATGCCTCTAAGGGCATTTCAGGGTGCAAAGACAAAGAAAAATATAAATGTCTCTCTCCACTAGGCCATCAGACTATTTCACTTTGAATATCTTCTTGGAAGAGTTACTCTATTACCAAAAAATCATCTAGCTGTGGGATATAGGACTCACTGACACTGGGCAGTACCAGAGCTGTGCTTCTCACTATAGAAAAATGAGGGATTGTTTTAGTTCTGAGTGGATACAGCTTAAATCTAGAGCACTTGAACTTATGTAGAGGAAGGAAATGATATCACCTGGAAAACTTCTGAGGTTTTGGAGGAACCAGTGGTTGGGGCTAGATACAACTCAAGAGAGCTGGCTGGAGTGTGTGACTGTGCTAGATGGTTTTTGGAGACTATTCCTGGTCAGAGGATAGTGATAAGACAGCATTTGAGGTGATGCTGTGGGCTAGGACTCATTAATGGAGATGTGGTGGGAATTTTTTTTTTTTTTTTAGAATGGCATGGGCTGGAAGGGACCTTAGAGATCATCTAGTCCAACCTCCCTGTTTTGGCAGGGATGCTGCTAACTGCCCCAATGTGCTGATATTGTGAAGAGCAAGTGGATTGACACTTGTCACTGTTTGCAGAGCTCCGATGGGCAGCAGAAATATCTCCCGGACTTTCCTCAGCGCAGCTCTGGTGGGTGCAGAGCATGCAAGGTCCTGCTGAGAGGCGACGTGGTCCCTGACAGGGTCATGGAGGCTTTTCACTCTCCTGCTTTTTGTGAAGATTATGGGGAAAAAAGCCACAAAGCAACTGGCTGAGGTCAGGTCTTGCCTCGTCAGAGCCACGACAGCCCATCTCCATGGGCGTGTTGATGCGTGATGGCACGGCAGACAAGTCTTGCTGGGGCAATTAGCATATTCCTTATTTCCGTGCCAAATACGCGTCATCCCCTGGGGTGATTATTAAGCTGCTGGGGAGCTATTCACTCAGAATTACCGGATAATAAATCCTGATCTGATGAGCCTCGGCTGGAGGTGGTGATTCCCCGCAGCCCGATGGGCACAGCTGCTCCTCCCAGGTATTGCCTCTTCTGGCATTTCACTGGTTTATTGCTGATGTCGCGATGTTTGGTATCATTGTCTAGAGAAGCTTTGGTCGGGCAGAGAGGGCATCCTGACCCGCTTCTGGCCTTTCAGGCGAGGAGGAGAAGCTGAAATAGAACCTAGGGACTCAACAGCCAAATGCTATTGAGTATCAACTTGCGTTGATATGGCAAAGGGCAAGGGGTTATCTGTTCTCTCACTGCTTTTGTGACGTTGGCAACACACCACATGATGACCCACGGCCACGTGTCCTTTGTAGACAGCACGACATCTCCTGGAAGCTCCAGCTCATGCACGGACTGTCCCCATCGCTCTTCGGGGGCGCAGCTGGCTGTGCTTGTGGAAGAGCCAGGGAGCTCTGCTGAGAGGGGCGAGGGAGGTTGGGTTGGCAAAGGGAGAAAAGGGGAGACATTGAGGTGTTAATAGCCTGATGACAGACTTTTAAAGTGTGGATTTTCTTCCCTTTGAGGCAGCCTTATATGTGCTTGCATCAAGAGCACAACAACTGTGGCTTGGGGTGCCTTTAGAGTGACTGATTTTTTATTTATTTTTTTTCTTATTATTTATTTTTAGTTTTTGCAAGCCAGTTTGGGATCACATGTGTTTCTTAATCTTTCTCCCTTCAAGTTGTCAGCTCTTCACATTGGTTTTTTTTTCTTCTGAAATAAATAAAATAATAATTTGGCAGCTGTAATGACAAATGTAAAACTGAAATGGTTTGAGCCATGGGCCAGTGAGCTGAGAGAGACTGCTTTACATTGCCTTTAATACACTTTATATTTTATGTATAAATAATTAGATGTTAGGAATAAAAGCCGCCTATTTAATTCATGCCATTGAAAACCCTCTGCACTGTTAATAGGCTTAGTTATAGGCAACACCTCTTTGAAATACCATTCTTTTTATGCATTTTAATAGAGTTCATGGTAAACATACTGTGATAAGCAGACAGCAACTAATATTTCCTGCAGGCAGAGTGCACCTAATTAAAATTAATTGATTTTTTTAAAAAAATCAATCATCACCAGTAAAATTCCCAAACTTTTTTTTTCTTCTTGACAAAGCACCCACATGTGGTGTCAGGATGCAAAAAGCTGTGGATGTGGGTTGGTGCCTGACTTGAGATTCTCTTTGCTGCTGAGATGAGGACCATCAGCCCAGCCAGGCTGTGCTGGAGGTTTTGTTTGGGGCATAGAATCGTAGGATTGGAAGGGACCTTAAAGATCATCTAGTGCCAACCTCCCTGCCATGGGCAGGGACATCCCCCACTAGATCAGGTTACCTAGAGCCCCATCCAGCCTGGCCTTAAAAACTCCCAGGGATGGGGCTGCCACCCCCTCTCTGGGCAACCTCTGCCAGGGTCTCACCACCCTCATGGGGAAGAACTTCTTCCTCACGTCCAATCTGAACTGATCTATTCCCTCTAGTCCTGTCACTATCTGACATCCCAACAAGCCCCTCCCCAGCTTTCTTGTAGCCCCCTTGAGATACTGGAAGCCACAATAAGGTCTCCTCGGAGCCTT